GTCGACACCGGCAGAGGCTGTTTGGCGAGTTGCCTTTGAGGAAGAGAAAGCTGTGATCATGGCTAGCAGAGCAGGCCGCACAGTGATGGAGGTAAGTAACATTCGCTCATTTCTCCCTTGTCTCCTACATCTTATCACAGACTAACCGGGAATGAATGTGTTCTAGGTCTGGACTTTCTCACCACCACCCGAAGAAGATGGCGACGATGCTGTGATAGTGGAGAGTGCTTCCAGTACGCCGGGTCTGCACCCCACGAGTAACGACAGCCGACATAGGGAGCGCTATTCGGACCCCCCGCCTAGTGTGCCGCTCAATAGTGACGATGACCAGACCATGGTGGATGCCCCCGCCTCCTGACTAGGGATTCCACCTTCGCAATGACTAGCACGTCCTTCTTTCCTGCTTTATGAATCCAAGCGTTACCGTCTATATACCTATTGTTTTAGCGCCTGATTTCAACGACCCGGCTGGTCCAACCTGAGTGTCGCTAGGCAAACGAGGCGCGGTCAGCGTTGCCAGGTCATCGAACATCAGCATTCGCATTCTGGGTGTTTGGTCTAAACGGATCTCTTTTCTTTCAATTTTCCGGTCTTGTTGTCGAAATTTTCATGGGAAACGTGGAGTGGAGTTACAAAATGGCAAAGGGTGGGCTACTTGATGCGTTGTACCTGCAGGAGTCTCAGGGGAACCGTGATTGGCTCATGATATGTTTACCTCTACTTTTGGTTTTTCGAGGGTTAGATGATACCCGCCTCGGGAGATGATGTATTTACCATTTACAGACGATTTGGTGTTTCTACTGTTGGTCCTACAAAGCGAAGACATTGAGCTTACCTTTCACCACGACTACACCCCAGCGTGCCTTGTCTCCCTTGGTGGGCATTTTCTGGTTGTTCAGATAGTCAGTTGTTAGAAGTATCCCGAAAGGGTTCCGAGACGAGAGGAATAGAGACTATAATAGATCACTACGTATGCTTTGACTAAACGAACGGGGTTGATCAAATGTGGTAATGCTGTGGGGTGGTAATTATAGTATATAGTATTTGTAGTTGGGGTTGTTTCTCGTTGATAATGGAGATCACCTGACTGGCCCCTCGAAATGGCAAGACCCCGTATTCTACGGTTCTTTGTGTCGATCCTTCAAGGCACCAGCTGCGACGATGCCATCAAGCATTTGATATATTCGCTTGACAAAGCACTTAAAAAATTGTCCTCATCTATGTCGCTTCCACTGCATATTCTATCCCGCAGCTGGGCCCCTATCAAGTAGACGAAGATGGTGTACGGCGGGAAGCCAAGTACAGGGTGCCATTTGTGTCGCAAACGGAAAATCAAGGTAGGACAGATCTGCAGCCTTGACATGTCATGGCACATCATGCCCCTTGCATAACAATTTACCCCAATGAGTATGCCGTTCATCTGTATGACCCCACGCTAAGCTGCCTCCCAGTGCGATGAAGGCCGTCCGGGGTGCCGAAATTGCGGCATACATGGCAAGCCATGTCCGGGCTACCGATCGGATGGGATCTTCCGGAATGAAACGTACAAAGTGCAGCAACTGATCCATGGCAAGGCCATTGTCTACTCTTCCTCGTCAAGTAAACAGCAGCCCAGCAACCATGATGTATCAAGCGGCGGCAAGGATCTGCAAGTGGCGACATTGCCCGCTTATCAGATCAGCGATTCAACATGGGAAGAAAGAGCAATTTGCTATTTCTTCGATCAGTTTACCATCGTGGAATGCAATGCAGTCGGCGGCATGGGACATCTGGGGTTCCTTCCGTCGCTGTATGCAGATTGTCGAGATCAGGATCATGGTAACCCCGCATCATTGTCTTTACGATTAGCTGTCGATGCAACGGCCCTGATGGCCCTCAGTAATAGGGTCAATGTGCCTGGGATTGTGACTCAGGCGAGATATCGCTTTGGGTTGGCGCTGCGACGTCTGCAGGAGGCGTTGGATTTGCCGCTTGAGGCGGCGAAAGATGAGACTTTTGCGACGTTGGTTATTCTGTCTCTGTTTGAGGATATCTCGGGAGATCGCCATGGGCTTACTAGTGCGCATACGGTGGGATTTGAGGCGCTTACGAGACTGAGGGGAGAGAGTCAGCTGGGTCATGCGGCGGGACTAGATATGTTCAAGTATGCGTATGTTCGTATGGTAAGTCAATTAGGATGCCTCTGTTTAATGGATGTGTGAATGCTAACGCATAATCCAGCAAATCGAATTCCTTCTGCTGAAGGGGAAACCCAGTCTGGACTCCGATCGACTAGTTGAGCGTCTCGACGGCGCAGATCCGCTACAATCCCTTATGATAATTGCGTCCAAGGTCAGAAAGCTGATTTCAGAGCCAACATCTGCTTCAGATTCCTTGCAATCTGCGGGGATCACGAAGCTAGCGTCATGGATCGACTCCTGCAGACGCTTGGATTCAGAACTGTACCAATGGACCCAAACCTTATCGGACATCTGGCTACCCCTCGAGACCCGATCACACACGGGCGAGAATGTACTCACGTACCGAGAGATGATTGCTGCGGTTATTTGGGCCCATTACCGTGTCCTTCGAATCTTCATCCACAGTGTGATGGCAGATCTCTTCCGAACACTGGTCTCTCTGGTTGATTCCCCCGGTATTCAGCATGAAGCGTCTCAGCATGAGGCAGATGGCCTACGGCTAAGCCTCGAGATGGTCTCTGATTCTTGTCGGAGTGTACCATTCTGCTTTGGGGAGATTGATATGTTCGGAAACCCGATGCCACCGTCTGAGCAGGGGATGTCTCGGGTTCGAGCCTTTTATCTCTACACTATGCTATGGCCTCTGTGGTTTCTTCTGTCGTGTGGACTTGCTACGCCCGAACAGACGCAGATGATCCGAGGCGTGATGGCCCGGACGGGCTCGGAAGCTGGCATCAAGCTGGCTACTGTGTTGGCGAGTTATGATGGGCGGGATGTCATGTCGAGCATGCCTCAATTGTACTCTTTGGAACGGCCGGTGAGGGAGGTGTCCGTCATGTAAGTAGGGAGAGTTGGACTCATGCACATGGTATATCCCTCGGGGCTCATGGGGCTGGACAAACTATACCTGTAAATTAATATGTATATTATTGCTACTAGTAATTACTCAACTACTGCTTCCTAAACTGACCGCAATCAATTAATGTTGGCTTGGGCCTGTTATAAGCCACCGGCCGATCTCTGCAACGTAAGTCTTACCATTGTCATCATTCATGACTCGGAATAACACTATCTGATACAGCTGGATAAAATTCGTCCTTTGCCCCAGCTGCTCTATTCATGTAGTCTCCCTTCAAATCTTTAGTGGAAACAGTCAGTCTCAAACACACGTTCTTATCACCTGTCCTGGTAGCTGCAACTAGTTAGCGATACCCAAATTACCGATATCCCCTTCCCTAGCATAAATCAGTGCCTCTCGACCAACCAAACACTCGCCGGTCTGTAAATGCTTCTTGGGTGTGCCAGGGTATCAGTGCATACGTATGCTGCGCTTGGTGACGTTATTAATTTGCCATACCTTGATCAATGTACAATAGGAGCTTCTAGGCCGGCCTGTAGCATCCGTTACATGGGGGTCAGCATTGAAGAATTTATCACTCTGCAGGAGTAATTTGCTGCAGCCATTTCCTCTGACAATCCGATTTGCTCTGGAGATTAATTCCTTTCCTTCACTCACCAACCAGGTAAGTAACGTGCTCCGTAGATTCTCTCTGATAAGCCTGGCTGCTTCTGCAGATGATCACATATGCATTTAAGTTCACCATTCTACCTGATCTTCTCTGCAATGCTAGGCAGAGGTGCCCAATCACCGACTCATCGAGTAATTGCTCAGCAATAAAGTGCATGAGACATATATTTCAGTGTTTCTCATTTATGAGGTATAAAGAAACATGCAGTAGGAGCGCTTGGAAGTGAGGCAGCCATTGAGCATCAGTGGTAATTAGTAGCTAGGGCCTACTATGTAGTAGGTGCTGAAGTATACATGTGGGGTTGAAAGGGCATAGCTACTGCATCCCCTACCTACTAACTACTAATTACTGCATGTCAGGGTAGTGATAGGTATATTGCTTTTGAGCCCACCACTATGCATCTGCAATGTTGTTGCTGCTACTAATTCGTCAAGCTATAGCTTGTATGTCATGGACATTATGACTCCGGGAAAAATAGACACTACTACATACGGAACTCTAGTTCGATTACTTGCTAAAACGCGAATAGAATGATCTACTGAGGCCGTGATTTGGGCTGGCTGCCGTCATTCTATCTGTATACGCTTTTGTATGCGGAGATCAGATGATCCTGCAACATGCTGTGCAACGGGTACAGTGGTAGCTGAGGCCTTCTGCTCATTATTGCCATCTGTGGGTAGTATTCACCTTCTACAAGAATCTGCGGGGTACTTTGGCTCCGTGCATATGCAGCTTCAAGAACGAATCAGCCCGACCTCCTCAGCAAGCCAGGCATGTTGATCACAGAGGTGTCCATGCATTTTCCTAGTAGTACTGCTTCAGGTGAAGACAAGTTGATAGGGCTGGGTGCGCGGAGAGAAGTGAAGCTACTCCATGTGCTCCGTGCTGGAGCAAACGGATCTAATTCTAAGCAAATGAAGAAGAAGAAGAAGAAAACGAAGTCAAAGCAGATGGTAGTTCATTTTGTTGTTTTTAGTAGGATGCTTGTAGAATGCTTTCTAAATACATATGGTAGGAGAAAAGAGAGGAGGCACCTATCCGCTACCCGATTCGGTAGGCACGTTGCACCATGCAAGGTTGTCATGACTGGTCCGCAGTAAAGAATGCAGTACTAGGTCTATGACGTCGCCTGCCTTTGATCATTGAATGCTATATAAATTACAACCTATCGCCCACATATCCGAGTATGGTACTAAGACACTTTGCCTTGATCTCTTACAAGTTAACAAGCTACCCCAGTCCCACCCCAGATTCATAGAACGGAGCGCACCAGCCTCACTTACGGCCCAACATGGTTAAAATGACATGCACTATCACCACTACGCTCGACAAGGACGTTTTTGCGCTGGTTGTCTACAGCCAAGATGAAAATTATAAATGGCCAATAAAGCTGTCCCAACTTGTCAAGGATGAATGGGTGTTTAGAAACGATTACAGATCAGACGTCATTTCTCAGTCACTAGCCTGTGGTTGGTTCCATGACCCTGGAAGCGAAAAGCATGAGAAGTTGGTCAGAATCTCGAAGATAACTTATGAATTACTGAGGGGTGTAAATACTGATGGAATGATGAACTGAGTATGCTTAGATTGTGTGCCTTACGGGGTTGACTGAATTAAGAATTGGTGTCACCGAAGATTCTCAGTGGGAAACACGACCCTATACGGATGAAGTCCAGAAAGCAATCTGTGAGATAGGTACAGGCGGACCCTATGTCTCATATATCACTCCTTGCACCACTGCAAACCATAATAGTGATGTTGCCCTTGAATACATTGACTGGCAATAGGCATTCTGTGTCCGAAAGTATGTAGATTGTTGTGACCAGTCGCTCTCTGCCGTTTCGTTATTATTTGCTGATATTTACATAGTTATTTTGTAAATCAGAACTTATATGAGCTTCATAGAAAGTCTAATGACTCCGACTGGGAGATTAAGCTCATCGACGAAGTGGAGTCGGGCAAGACGGCTTCGTGCATAAACACGGAAGGCATCGATGTCTACTTTATCGAAGCCGAAACCGGAATCGGTTGGTCTTATCATAAGGCATATGATGGAGAGGAATATACAAGTATGTCCTTCGGTTCTCTCTGCAACTTCACTAGAGACCTTGAATGTCACCCAGTGGGCTCAAGTTAACTGGATCCTTGTAGAAAAGCCATTGGGACAGCCGGGCGACTTTGCGAAAGTCACTGAACTGTGTGCTGTCAGTCGTTGGTTTGGTGAGCCTCGCCTGTTCGGACTCTCCGATGGATATTTGAAAGAATTTCAATACAACGAATCTCGAACGCACATCGTCGGCACTCCTATCACAACAGCCCGCAGTGGACTTTCCTCGCTGTCTGCGACAATTGAACAAGATCGCCATAACAGTCCTGAAACAATCAGATTAACTTATTTTCCGGACGATCAAGACATCATGGGAACATATGTTTGGACCCAAGCAGAGGGATGGAAACCTGGGCCCCAGATTGTCTGAGACGCTGAGGGAGCGTCCTCTCGAACGAGTAGTTGTATTGCTAAGCCTCCCAGCAAACCACGAGAATTGGGAGGCCGACACCTGATAGTGCAGAGTCGTCTTTAAAGGCTACATCCAACTCGATGCCGTTGTTGGTGTATCTAGCTTGGTTTTGCCATGCACAGGTGTTACAGCAGGATTATAAGTTCTACTCAGCAGAGTAAGGTTAGGACGTACTTTATTAATCTCAAACACCCATTAATTTATTGTATATTGGATTATCTTGTCTTGTTCGACCAAATGGTGATATTGCTACATGATCTATAGATATGTCTATAGACGATAGATAAATCCATAACATTCTTGCCCTACTCCTTCCGGTTACCCCGGATGCACTGACGTCATCGATCTGCACTATCTCCAAGGCGCCGCAGACACAACGACACAAGATTAATTATGAGTAAAAGAACACCACAAAGTAAATAATTCACTGCTTATGTAGATCTCAGTTTCATACAGAAAAGTATCCATTCCAGAAACGGCAAATCGGGACGTATCCGGCACAGAGAACAGTCCATTGCGCGGGTGCCGATTAGCCGTTGGACTGGCCGAATGGATCTGGACCGCGACTTGTTTGTCCTCCCTAAATGGAGACTCTGACGACATGGCCTGCGGGCTGACACGGTACAAAGTAAATATAAGTAGTGTGGATAGTAGTACACGTTTCTATCCATTGAATTTTCCTATACTACATTGTTCACGTACCTTGCTCGGTAGAATTTCTCCCCTCTCCTCTCCTGTCCTGTCCTTTTAGTCGATAAGCTTCCATTGCTCCCCTCCTCTACTTTCCTCACTAGATAGGCTCTCAGAATGGCGACACAAAAGCCCAAGTACCCCTTGGGTAAGATTGAACCCAACTCGGCCAAGTATTTCGCCAGTTGCACACTCGGAGGAATCATTGGTGAGTAGTCTGCCATCTAGCCCTCTTTTGCATCACAGAGCTTGTATACTAACCACCTCGAACAGCCTGCGGTATGTTTAACCATCCTATCTCCAACCACACTACCATTCCTAATTCCTATCCCTCCCCACAGGCCCTACCCACACAGCCGTCACACCCCTCGATCTCGTAAAATGTCGCCGTCAAGTCGACCCCAAAATCTACACTTCCAACCTCTCCGCCTGGCGCACCATCATATCCAAAGAAGGTCTCCGCGGCATCTTCTTCGGCTGGACCCCCACCTTCGTTGGCTACTCCTTCCAAGGCGCCGGTAAATACGGCTTCTACGAGTACTTCAAATACCTCTATGGAGACCAGCTCTTCCCGAATGCGAACCGCACCGTCGTCTTCCTTGGTGCTAGTGCCTCGGCCGAATTCTTCGCTGATATGGCCCTCTGTCCGATGGAGGCCATCAAGGTGCGCATGCAGACGACGCTGCCGCCGTTTGCGCATACATTGCGCGAGGGATGGGGCAAAATCGTGGCGCAGGAGGGCATGTCGGGCTTGTATAAGGGGTTGTATCCATTGTGGGCGAGACAGATCCCCTATACCATGACGAAGTTTGCGACGTTTGAGGAGACGGTCAAGTTTATCTATAAGACGTTGGGCAAGCCTAAGGAGCAGTTCAATGGCTTACAGCAGACGGGAGTCAGCTTTTTGGGAGGTTATATTGCCGGTATCTTCTGTGCCATTGTCAGTCACCCGGCGGATGTTATGGTGAGTAAGTTAAATGCGGATCGGAAAGGTGAGTTATCCTGTTTTTCATTATTTATCGATTATGGTGTTTAGGGTTATGGCTGAATGATGTTTAGCTGGTGAGGGAGCTATGACTGCTGTGTCGAGGATCTATAGCAACATTGGGTTCTCGGGCTTGTGGAATGGACTGCCTGTGAGAATTGTCATGCTGGGTACATTGACTGGATTCCAATGGTTGATGTAAGTGATCCTGATGATGATGCTGTGATAAGACTGAGGGTTGGATGCTGACGCAGATATATAGTTACGACTCGTTCAAGGTGTTCCTTGGATTGCCGACTACTGGTGGACATTAGCGTTATGTTTACTTCTTTGCACGGATAGATCCGTCTTTTTCTCATGAACAGTAGCTTTTAGGAGTTAGTGCAATGTAATGACGATAATGAAGCTTTAGTGTGTTGCTCCTTTAAAATACCAGTAGTGTAGTGTTATACCCCAGACTCCGCTGACCGCCCAACACCCCGACCGGCAGAACGTGACTGGCTCTGCTTCTGCTTCGGCTTCAGCTCCGACTTGATTCTCGTCCCATCCATTCCTCTCAGATCCGCCTCGCTGCCATCCAATTCACCTCGGGGAATCCCTTCTCATTCATCAATTACCCTGGGTAATCCTTTTACCTCATCGGAGTCACTCGCGCCCCCTCACTATAACTACCCCCTAATCGTGCATCTCCGAACATCCTAAATTCATCCCCAACCACTTCGCTCCTCCGACATCCCTTGACCATCAACCAACACCACAACAACACTCATCAATCGCACCACTCAATCCCACCATCATCTACCTCTCATCCACCGCACCACCCACCACAATGGAAGAAACCCGCCAACCCTCGACAACCTCCAACCCCCCCAGCGTCGAAAACGCCTACAAGCGGAAATGCCTGGCCCTAAAGAAGCGCCTCAACGAAATCGAAGAAGAAAATGAATTGATGCGTCTCCGCAACCGTCGCGGCTGGCAATACATCCAGAAGATGCGCCTCGAGTCATGCATTCTCCTGGAACGACTGGCCAAGGTCACCGGCATGACGGAGGAAGCGCAGGCGGGCGTGAACCCGGAACTGCGCGCCCGAGCATCAGCCATGATGACGAATGTCGCAGCCGTGACGGGTGGAGAGACGGGGAAGAATGGTGCTGCCGGTGCGCCGCAGTTCCTGGAGGACGAGACGGAGGGGAGTTCCGATGAGCAACCGCCTACTGTAAGTTCTACCTTCCTCTACCTCTTTGGTATATTTAGGGTTTGAAGGTTCGCTAATGGTAATGGATGTGATTATGTACAGCCCCAGGAAAGGCCTCTGCGCGTGAAGCGATCCAGGAAATCCAACTTGCCCAATGATGCTAATTTGGAGGATGAGGCGGCGAACAATGAGAACAACAATGAAAGCAACAGCAAAGATAAAGAGAAGGAGAAAGACGCCAAGGATAAAGATGCGACGGAATCTGGCGCCGCAGCTGCTGATGGTGATAACGGTAATGGAGATTCGTCGTCCTCGTTGCCGCGACTAGCCCCCGCCCCGTCGCAGGATGATATGACTTCGTCATTCCGCGTTCAACCGGGTAGTAACGGGTCTGCGAATGATAAGGAGGGTGCTACTAGTGATCGCGGGAGCCATAACCCTGAATCTGCGGAGCAGAGGGGTGATGGTGGTGCGGAGGATGAGACGACGCCGATGGATATGGATGCCAAGGAAGAGGAGGAGGAGGAAGCTAAGGAGGAGAGGGAGGGGTGATTATCAAACTTATACCATAACCATACCCTAGACTTTTCTTTTCTTTCTTTTTACTTTATTACTCTATTTTCTTTTTGTGTTATTGTGATAATGGGTGTTATTCATCGTCGGGTTATATTTCATTTCGTCTTAGGGGTTTGGGACATCTTTCATCCCCCTCTTTACTCTTCTTATGTGTTCAATAGTATACGATGGGCAAAAAGCGTTATCATTTCTATTGTTGTGTGTATGTGTAAGAGGGGAAGTAGGGATACCTGCCTGCTTCATTATAGAATAGTCATCCTTTGCTCTGTGTAGTCAGTAGATACTAGTATATGTGCATCGATCATCATGTCTTGCCATACTTGATATCACAAGATACGAGGCCAGACAGATGATGATGGTTCATCTACCAAAAGCCCTTATTTCTGGACGAGATACTAACTGGTTAATCCTACAGAGTGAAAGAGCTGCACAATGACCATATTGGCTCCAGCTAAAATAAGTCTAGGGTAGATTCGGATCAACTCTGGAGCAATCAATGGGTGTAATATACAGCTCAAGATAAGTTATCGCGCGGTGTAGAGGAACTGATACTAGATACTAAATATAGATAGATATGCATTGTTCGTAGCGATGCAAGGAGGGCTTGCTTTGATAATTCCCACTTTCACTCCTGTTTCCCTTTTAAATGACAGATGTATGCCCGAACCCCTTAACTCCGCTGAAGTGAACGAATACTGAAAGAGAACACTCAGTGTAGTGTGGTGTGGTGTTGTGGTGATGGGGCTGTAGATGTATAGGAAGGGTGTTGTTGGGTGATGTAGACAAGGCAATAGTAGTAGTAATTGTTAGTAGAAAGGGTAGGTAGTGTTCACTCCACGCCAGCGTACAAGTCAACTACGATGTTGATGGCCGCGACTAGGATTTCTGCCGCAATGAGAACAATTACTGTGACGTGTATTAGTTGATTAGAACAGGTTGATGCAGAGGGTGAGGTGCCTACCGATCCATTCAAGATACTCACCGTGGCGGTGAGTTAATTGATCTTTGAGGACGGCGAGAAGATCCGCTATCACGTCCAGTCGTTCCGTGAGTAGGCTTACGCGCTGGTCCATTTCAAGGTAACTGCGGACGGCCTGGTAAACCGGTTCTAGCTGAGGCTCGGCCCACATGAGTTCTGGAGAGTCTAGAACCGAGCCTTGCAGGTGAATATTGATCCGTAGGATGAACAATTCGCCGATTTGCATGTTGATCTGGCGCCGGGTGAGGTTAACACTGCCCGTCTGGGCGATCTGGGCGGGTAGGGGTGCGGTGTTGGAGATGGTCTCAGATACGAGGTCTTCGAATAGGGAGGTCTTGACGGATTGGGCCAATGCGTGGGAGATGGCCAGTTTGATCATGTGGTTACGCGGGTCGCGCAGAGAGATGAAGTCGTTGTATATCCGGGCTTGATATTCGCGAGCATAGTAGAAGTTGAAGTTCTCGACCTGGGTGTCTTCGGGACTGAGTATGGAAGCAGCAAACTTGGAAACATCGGATAGGAATCGTGACTCG